TCCCGTGTCTTCCTGGTTGTGCATGGCAACGCTCTCGGATATATAAAGTGGTTTAGGATGCATAGACAACTTTACACAATGTTATGGTGGGTGCTTACGAAATACAGTTTGATAGCGTTGTACATGTTATAGGTTTTGTACGTGCTAAGTCCTTGTTTGCTAGCAGGTGATTAGCCTGACTTGTTTTTGTTTAGCAACTAGCTATCTGGTGTGTTTCATCACCTGCTTTGATATGCACAGGCCAGTGTGAGTGTAGACTAATCTCTAGACTTGTCTTTTGCAATTTAGTCAAAGATTATTGACTTTGTCAAAATGTATTTGACCTAATTAGCTCGCCAGTGCTACCAAACCCTGAACCTAAACAGCAGCGTCACATCATTGGAGGCCTTATGCTCCGTCTGACAGATCTGGACATTTACCAGGAATAATAGATTGTTAATTTGAAACTTACTAGTTACGTCTGATTCAAACGGTTCATAGACTTGTCCTCTTCCTCTGACTCAGCTTAACGTGCTAACGTTACGTGGTAAGACGTGCGTTTTAAAATGACAAAGCATCTCTTTTGTGTGTGTGTGTGTGTGTGTGTGTGTGTGTGTGTGTGTGGTAATGAATTATGCGATATTATTTACACTAGCATGGTATGTCATAACTTGTGCATAATATGTATATAGTATTGTCTGTGTAGGTTTTGAGACACAGCCCTAATGAACTGCTCTTATTCTAGCAAATTCAAAACGCTCCCTTAACGTTAGCATATGGATCCCGTTTGGTTATTTTTGGAACCAAGTAATAACGTTCTAGGAACGTTTTGTGTATCTTTTTTTTTGTGACAACCTAAAGAGACTATACATGTTCTTTAATGGTTATTTTAGGTTTTATTTTATAATGAAAACTAATGCTCACTGAACGTTCTGGGAACCAAACATTTTATTTAGTCAAAATCTGCTACTGTGCCAGACTGTCTTAACAATAGCAAAAGCTTTACATTGAAATATTTCATGAAGATTAGTTGATTCGTTTGCGTACGAATTTGATTATAGAATGGTTCCAAATCCAATCTCTAAAGAAGAAGCTACACATTGGAGGCTTTGAGCAAACAAACTGCAGCTGTTTTACTTTAACATCATGCATCCTGTGCCAGATAATGTGTTTTGCCATTGTATTTCAGAGTCCCTTATTATGGCCACTGGAAGTCATGTTGGAAGTAATGCAGAAGTCCACAGGCTTAAGCAGGCCCAGCCCCATGATGTTCTCAAACGTATGGTTTGTTCTGGAGATGAGAAAAACATGAGGGAGGTAAGAGGAATTGTTTCAAAAATTGCTTTAAAATAGACAAATTGTTTGTAGTGTATGTGCTGGTTGGGATTAATAGGGGCTTTTCAGTTTACAAATACAATTTTCAGTATTTTAATGCTGTAATACACTACACGACTTTAGTCCAGATTGTGTCAGATTTTAAGTGTCGTATAGTATATTCAAGCCTTTAGGAATGCTAGATTTAACTGTGATCTCTTTTCAGGTGGATTATTCACTTAAGGACGAAACCGATCAAGAGAGGTATGTTTTTGGACCATAGCAACTCAATGACCATTTATATTATTCCTTGCTTTGACAAGCTGATTTTGTAAAATGTCAGTTTGAAGATATGAGCAAGCATTATTCTCCATCCCACAGATTTCCAGTGGGCCATTGTGTGCACAAATACAGCAAAGCGAAGCGAGCGGTGGTTAGCAAGAAGAAAACACGTCACTCTGGGGTGGGATCAAGAGTATGTCGGAGATCGCCCACCACAAGCAGGACATCTGACATGGCAAACAAAGAAAATGAACTGACCTGTGCTGATGACGTGCAGGCTATTCTTTACAGTGACAACTGTGGGTTCCCTGTGAACTCAACAGACACCTCAAAAATGGCAGGAGCTGGCTCCAAATACAGTGATTATTTCACTGAGGTGCGATATGCTGCATGCTCATGCTAATATTTTTGCTGACTATGTTTTTGTCATTCTAAGCTAAAACGTTCCTGTGTTGATTCTAAAATCTTCAACCCCTCTATATCTGCAGTATCAATCATGGCAAAGTGTGATCTATAATAAAATTTTATTATTTGTACTAACTTTGTATTATTTGCACTAATCGTTTGTTTTTATTTCAGTTATCAAAGGACCATGAAGCAATGACTCATGTGCTCTTTGGAAGAAATCTGAGACTGAATGTTGCTTTGACTCTTTGGCGGAAGAACGCAAGTGAACTAGTTGCATATTTGAACAGGTTAACAGTTTTTTTTTTGTTAATTATTTTATTTAGCAAGGATGCATTAAAGGGATAGTTCACCCAAACATGAAAATTTTTCTTACACAAACACATCGATTAGCTTCAGAAGGTATTTATTAACCCCCCAGAGCCAAGTGGAGTACTTTTTATGATGGATGGATGCATTTTTTTGGGCTTCAAAATCTCAACACCCATTCACTGCCATTATAAAGCTTGGAAAAGCCAGGACATTTTAAAATATAATTCTGATTGTATTCATCTGAAAGAAGAAAGTCATATACAGCTATGATGGCTTGAGGATGAGTAAACCATGGGGTAATTTTTGGGTGAACTATCCCTTTAAATTGATCTAAAGTCTCAGTAAACTGACGTGTGTGTGTGTGTGTGTGTGTGTGTGTGTGGGTGTGTTCAGGACATTTTATTGTGAACACATGTACAAAAAAAGAGAGCAGCGAAAGAGGGGTTTGAGGGTCTTGTAGAACAGTGAGGGCTGTTTCTGGCAAGGCTCTTGTGCTAAAAAAAACACGCTTTTCAGACAGACTTTTCTCTCAGCGACAGCCTTGCCCAGTTACTGCCAGTAAACTGGTAAACTGACGTGTGTGTGTGTGTGTGTGTGTGTGTGTGTGTGTGTGTGTGTGTGTGTGTGTGTGTGTGTGTATATATATATATATATATAAATAAAACCTGCAGCATATTAGTATTATTTCTGAAGGTTGATATGGCTGAAGATTCAAGTAATAAATTACATTTTAAAATATATTAAAATAGAAAAGTTTGAAATTGTAATATTTCACAATATGTTTTTGCTGTATTTTTGATCAAATAAATGAAGCCATGGGTGATCAAGAGAGGCATCTTTTAGAAACATTGAATGGTAGTGTATTGCAGGCATTTATAGATTTGTCTTTACAGCATGCTAAATGGCCCTTTTTCCGCTGTTTTTTGGCATAACTGATGCTTGCAATTCTTTTATGAATACCATAGTAACCAATTTACTTTTTTTCCAGAATACAAGACACAGGGGTGCTTGTTGATTGTTTGCCTGTACTTACTAAAAGGTAGCCTAATTAAAACCCATTTAAAGTCAAAGTTTGTTGACTTTTGCTAGACATGTTGTTTTATACTAATTTCTCCCTCTATAGTCTTCAGGAAGAACAATCGTGTGTTTCAATAGGCTGTTGTGTTGATCTTTTACCACAAGTGAAAATGATTCTTAACACTAAATATGAAGAGTAAGTATTTTGTCCTGTATTTTTTATTTGTCATTGCTATTTATTGTCATTATACATTTTGCCCAAGTTTAAATTAATCTTTTAAATGGTTGAATCTTTTCCAGACACCTCATTATAGCTTTACACTGGGTTCAATCTATCATTAAAAAATGGTGGTCTGAGCTCTCCACAAACAACAAAAGCTTGCATGATGGCTTTTCAAATGACAGGTGCTTCATTTTTATTTGTATATACGGAAATAAAAATCACAGAACAACTTATTAATGTTTGCTGGAAGGTGTAACTGAATATGTTTGCATCCAGCAGGAATGTTCATGCAATGAAGACGATGCTTCTTGAACTGTGGGAGGGGAAGAGACACTTAAGTTCAGTTCCAGGAACTGTAGGAGAAACGGCAAAGGTGGAGTGTTTTGTAATTGTTTTTTTTTTTTTTATTGAATTGAATTGAATTGAAAAATTGCAACAGTTTACAAAAAAAAAACAGTCTTACCTGGTCTCCTTTCTTGTCCTCTCGTCCACAGGTCATAGAATCATATGTGTCACAACTGCGCTGATGTATCATTGCAGCACACTATGGAGATAACCACTACAAACTCTTGTAGTGTACTAAGTTCTTAGATTGGCTTGGAGCTGGTGATTCTGAAGCCCAATAGGCTGTGGTGAATTGGGGATAGATGAACAGAACATTTCAGACACTCCAATTTCAGCACTGGAGGAAGAATTCTTCCTGCAGGCACTGAATGACTGCTTCACATTGAAGTGGACTTGCTTAGGGGCACATAATCAACTCCATGAGACTCTCTGGAATCAGGCAACTCACTGAAGTGCCAAGCAGAAGTTTTAACTGTTGCACTTGTAGTGCTATGGTGTGAATCTGCTTAAGTGGATGTGATTGTGTAAGTGTACCTTTTATGAGATGGGGGTTTTTTTCAGTCATGCACTTGAATTGCAGGAGTTTTAAGTTATTAGTGTGTTGTTGTCCATTGCCTGATCATGAATGGATATTTAAGTGTAATGTGTACATAGTCATTTTCTTTTAATCAACTTTCAAATAAATTTACATAAACTGAAAGTTTTATGTTTATTTGAATATTTGCATTTTATATATGTTTTTAAAAAATGACAATAACAATCATGTTCCGGCACAACCCCAATCAAAAGGGATATTACGTTGTCAGAAAAATTGACTGATTGGTTAAATGTAATTGCAAATTATGTTTAATTTGCGTTTGTGTTCTTTTTGAACCACTGCGACAAACTGAACCGGGAGACACATAACGCCATATAACAGCAGTATGTGCCTATGTATGGATTTACTCGAACGAACTGGAGTATGTATGCTGGACTAAAGTCCCCCGTTTTTGGCTGGACCGCAGTGATGTAGTCAAAACGATCTGTTTAAATATCCGGTTCGCGGTAAAGACTCCTATTCGAAACCCCCGCCCTTAAACTCTGAGAATCACGTGGTGTAACATGTTCTTCCGGTCTCTGCGGTCGTTCTGAGTTCCGTTTACCATTTACTTCCTTTAGTCCTATTCCTGTGGTCCAGGTTGACGCGTAGTGAAATATTGTACATTTTAAACGTAATATATGTCGTGTGACAAAACACGATGCAACAAATGAAACGTCTATTAGATATATATGTGGCGTTGCAGGCTCTGTTTGCGTTGTCACGGTGTTTTTCCGACGGAGAGCCGGGGCCTGTAGCAGGTTCTCAGTCGAATGGAGACCGTTTCAAAATCGAAGGGCGAGCGAGCGTTCCCGGAGTGAAAACACAAGACTGGATCTCCACAGCCCTAATCCTGGTGGAAGGAGAGGAATATGTTGGTTTTCTCAAGTGAGTTACCAGCTATGCTAACGTCAAAAAGAGTGCTGTAACGTAAATATTAATTTGTGTGTGTCAGTTTTCGATTTACTGCAGCGTGTCCATTAAATTACTTAATCTCAGTTATAATAATCTCGTTTGAAGCTTTCTGTTATATAAATACGAGTTCTAATGTATTTGTGAAAAATGTGTAGGTTGTATGTAATATCATTGCAGGGCATTGTAATTCAGATTAGATGGGCAGTGGTTTCATAACAAGCCTTTAAACGTTTTGCCAAGATGACAGAATTAACCACATCAATTTCCCTCGCAGGACTGATGGGAGCTTTGCTGTCAACGATGTGCCCTCTGGCTCATATGTGGTTGAAATCGTATCACCGTCTTTCAGATTTGATCCTATTCGGGTGGACATTACCTCCAAAGGGAAAATGAGGTGGCTAACATTCCCAATTTATTCTACCTTCTTCTAACAGCTCTTTTCTAAACATCTAAGTTAATCTCACAATGTTATTGAACCATAGGGCACGCTTGGTGAATCACATCAAAACCTCTGAAGTTATTCGACAGCCGTACCCTCTTCAGATCAGATCCAGTGGTCCACACACATACTTCATGAAGCGGGAAACTTGGGGCTGGACTGATTTTCTGATGAACCCAATGGTACAGTCATATAATGGTTTCTGTGTGTTCGATTCTTTCAGATGTATTTGATTGCACTTTATTTACTGGAGATTAAGCAGTCATTGTTTATTTTAGGTTTACTTATTCTTTAACTATATATTTTTATGTCCTCTACTTTAGATTAACTTAAGCATTACAAAGATGCTTTTTCAGAGCTGTTTATAATAATGTATTTTAGCTATGGCATAAGTGTTGTTGATGGTTTCTGATAGATCTTGTGGCTTGTTTTAAAATATTTTGTCGTCCTTAGGTCATGATGATGGTTCTTCCCTTATTAATCATCGTCCTGCTCCCAAAGGTGGTAAATACTAATGATCCTGAGATGAGAAAGGTAATAAAAAAACATAGTATGTAGTACCTACAAGTAGGTACAGACATTCTCATCCACTGTATGTTGCTTTATTTATACAATTTAATGCCTTTTTTTCCTGCAGGAAATGGAGCAATCTATGAATATGTTGAACCCTAACCCAGAATTGCCAGATGTTTCTGAATTTATGACAAAATTGTTCTCCAAGGGCTCCAGTAAGTCTGGAGGAGGCAACAAAGGCAGCAGAAGTGTTGCTCTGAAGAGGAGGTAGTGCCGTGTATTTGGTCGGTTTTCTTTAACACTGTTTTACTGGTTTCCCATTTTATATATATATATGAACAGTTTCTTTTTCAACTGAAATGCTTGACAAAGCAAGACTGTGTTTGCACTGTGCTACTTTTCCATACTTGTCTTCTTTGGATACATTGTTAATAATCAGATCATTTTAGTCATTGTAATGATACTCTGAAAATTAGCCTATACATAAAATTTAGTAATGGATAAAACCAGTACAGATCGAGCAAGGCAAGAAATTCATCTTTTTTTATATATATATAGAGCTTAACTAGGATGTTTTAACTTTAAATTTAGAATGAGTGAGTGAGAAAGTAAAGTATTTGATTGAACAGTTAAAGATATCCAGTTTTGCTAAAACATTTCAATATCTTGTAATGCAATTAATGTGATGGTAGTCTATGCTTTTACTGCTGCTGTGCAAAAGATTCATCACACAGATATGATTCCTTCTCAGAATTGAGGTTAATACAGGTTCACCTCAGTTATAACTTGAATAAAAGCGAAGTAGTAATAAAAGCTTTAAGTAAAATTCAGCATAACATTGTTGGTTGGTTGTTGAGTGCTTTGGGTTGATGCAACAGCTGCAGTACGGCTGTACTGATTAAGTCAGATTCAGAATTTAGTACTCCCTGTATGTATTTGTCTTACTCATTTTGTCACAAGCATTATGGGATATTTTAAAAGCACACTTGTGCTTAAGGGTCAAGATAGATGAAAAATATATAATGAGGGTCCATTTTTGCAGTGATACCATGTGTATTTCCAGACCAACCCAAGGAGGTGACATTGATAACAAATTCTGTTTCATAACTACTTGAAATAAAGTTTTTAGGTTATAATATTTACTATATCTTGTTGGGTTTGTACAAGACTGTGAATGAAGATGAGAAATTCATAAGATTTAAGCTATGAAGTATAATCTTATTTAAACAATGGAAATAAACTGGTGGAAAATGTCTTATTTGTCTACTGTTCTCAGCATGATGCTTGCATGGTAAAATGTGTGGAGATCAACATTTAAACCACATTTTATGATAAGTGACTGGCAAACAGTTGCTAGTATATCAGTGGGTAGTTGTTGTCGCTTTAGTTTTAATCAAGAAATTAATGGGAAGATGGAACCCCTGCCAAATCCAGACTGATGTTTCAATTAGTTGGGTTAATCTCATGTTAAAACATTTATTTCACATCAAATTAAATGGCACGTCATCACAAGAGTAGAGACTTGTTAAACAATATGAATGGAAAACAGCCAGGCAACATTCATAAATGTGTTTATATGATGTGTTAATGTTCAAGTGAGTTCCGATCTAATTCTTGGGACCACAAAGATTTTTTGTTTAATATGGACCAGTACACATTCGGGATGCTGTAGAAATGTCAAATGTGCTTTCAGTGTTGGAATCTATATGAATGCCATATAAATTAATATTTCATCCAGAGTGATGCTACAATCTTTTTGTGTGTATCTCTCTAGTCGACAGTGATGGTTTGGCAGCTCTAAAATCTTAAAATCTATATCTAACACTGTCCAGTTCTGCAAACATAATAATAATAATACAACAACATTGCTTTGCACACCATTTCAGTATGTTTAAGTTTGTATGCATGCATTGTCACTGACATGACCAAGCCGTACAATACATGAAAATCATTTTATCACAAAAAGTTAACCTTGTAATAAACACTGTATGTGGTATTTATAATAATTTAAAAGTTCACATTCCATATCTTTATTTATTGTCCTCACCATCCCTAGCCCTAGACATTTCACTATTAAAATACACTGTTGTGTAAACATTGTTAAATGAAAGCAGATTAGAAGTTACATTAAATATGAATAAAGTATATCATTTTCCAAATCAATATAGCAATATAAACAAAATGTACACAAAAAATGTGACCTAGAAAATTGTAAGGAATAATAAAGGACTATGGTCTGTGGCACTATGCACAACATAACCTGAAATGTAATTTTAGTGCCCATTTAATATAGCGATCTTGATCATTCAGAATGCTCTAAAATCGGCCACTTCTGTTGTGTTACTTCAGTATTTAATGGTTTTGACCACACCAGTATAGTTTCTCCTCTCCTCTATTCTTCTTCCACTTGCAGAGGACTAACATCCAAAAGGTCTTCTGGAAGGTCTTGTTGCATAGGGCATAACACATGGGGTTGATGGTGCTGTTGACATAGCAGAGCCAGTAACCCAGATGCCAGAGGGACACTGGGATGCATTCAGAACAGAAGGTGGAGATGAGCACCATGATGTTGTACGGGGTCCAGGTGAGGAGGAACACCAGAAGAATGGCGCTGAGAGTCTGAGCAGCCTTTTTCTCCTTGATAAGGACCATTCTTTTCCGCTTGGTCATCTGGATCTTCAAGTTTGGATCTTCTGGTTTAGTAGAAGAGGATGTGGATGAAGGAGCCTGTGGCTCTGAGGACTGACAATGATCTGTGTTTGTTCTATCGGCTTCGGTACTACCTTGCAAAGCGGTGATGTCGCTAAGGATCGGCTTGAACTTGTATGACATACATTTTTTATTGTTTGTCTGGGAGCATTTTGCAAGATCACTTAGATATTTGCTGTCTTCATAACAGAGCAGTTGTCCATTTCTATTGGCTGTCGATTCTTGGTTCTTGAATGATTCTCGCGGGGTTGTCTCAGAGACGGACCGCTCGTCATCCTCTGATGATGTGTAACTATTCAGGGTGCTGACCTGGTCTGATTTTGTCCACAAGTCCTCAGACTGCAATGTTGTCCTAGTTACGTAACTCTGGTTGGATGAAGACCATGATGCTTGAGTCCCGTCCCTCTTGTTTTTAAAGCTAAAGCATCGTAGTATTGGCTTTCGTACTTTAGGGTCTTCATGGCTGTCCAGCGATGGATATCCTTGGAGTTCTGCCAAGTTCTTAGTGCGTTTTTCTGTTTCTTTGTAGATTTTGCAATATAAGATCGTCATGATGGATACCGGGACATAAAAGGCCGCTATGGCTGTCCCAAATGTAATTATGGGTTCTGAGAAAAACTGGATCTGGCATTGGTCAGTAGGAACCGTCCTCTCACCAACAAAGTACTGCCAGCACAGAATGGGTGGAGCCCACAATATAAACGATATCAACCACGCCAAGCCAATCATGATGCCTGCACGTTTCGGGGTCCGTTTAGCCCTGTAGGTAAGTGGTCTTGTAATAGAAAAATATCTGTCAAAGCTGATGACCAGCAAGTTCATCACCGATGCATTACTTGCAACATAGTCAAGTGCCAACCACAGATCACAAGCTATATTCCCTAAAGACCAGTATCCCATGAGAATGTAGGATGTGTACAGATTCATTGAGAACACACCGATAATGAGGTCTGCAAAAGCTAAACTGAGTAAGTAGTAGTTGTTAACAGTCTTAAGTTGGCTGTTGACCTTGAAAGAGAGCATCACCAGCACATTCCCCAATATTGTGATGAGACTCACGACAGCTGATACTGTTGCAATGGTTATAACTTCCAACAGACTGTATGGGGCAGGCAAGATAGCAGAGACATTTCCACTTGCGGTTAAATTTTGAATATCCATGTTCATCCCGTTACCGCTGATCGGTTAGAAAACTCTGGATGAAATTTTCACTGTATTCTTCATGTTCACTTGGCAATGGATAGTCTGAAAACACAATAAAGAGAATGAACACTTCAAAAATAGGAAAATTTGAACAAAACATGCATGTTTTGTGTCTGACACCTATAAACAAATACAGGCTAAACATCACATCACAAGCTTTACAATTAAACTTGGGATTCTAAAGGCAAAACACTACAGGCAAAACCATTGTTTTTCATGCACTGGTCAATTTTGGGCTATTCAGCACTATTATATTGTTTCCATAACAAGAAAACATCCTAAATACACATTTAAGCGCTAATTTTGATTACTTTTTATGTATTTGCATCTCTAGTTTTCAGTTATAAATATCTACCTTTAAATGCCAAAAATCTCCACTTCAGAAGCATTTACATAAACCAAAGCTTCCTGTTTTATTCTTCTTAATGTTTTTAAGGTTTTTACAGAGGGGTTTGTTTATATATAATTCAGAGAGATAAAAATGGATATCCAAATTCCCCTTTGTAAAAACCTTTAACTCTAATGTCAAGAAAATTAAACAAGGATTTTTGAACCTGGCCCTATTCCATGTTGACATTTCATAGATTTCAGAAATATATGCAAATTAGTCCATGTATAATTAAATAGCGCCTCATTTGCGTATTTCATTAAAAAGAAAAACATGTAATACAAAAATATTTTGTACTAATGTACTGTGATTAATCAACTAGTGAATTATAGTGATATATATCAGCTATTTTTTGACCTTATTCACCTGTGGTGACTTGACATAAATTAGTAATTATTTAAAAAAAGAAAAGAAAAAGGTTTTAATAATTACTCATTTTAGTTTGAATTTTTTGAAGTATTTTTTCTTGCAATATGTCAATATGTCCTAAGTCAAAGAGTTCATCCTTCAAAATATAATAACTGTCATTTACATTCCCTTACGCAAAGGAATGACAGGACTGCATGAGCATCGAGTCAGATCTCACATGCTCCACTCACCGCTGGTCCTACTGCTTTTGATACTATTCATACTCGTACAGTTTTCCCTCAGCACTTTGGATCTGATGCACATTTTTCAATTGATAAACTCTCATTTACCATTAGGCGGAACTAGTTGAACGGCTGGAACGTTTCCCCATTGACGAGGGTTCTCTTTTAAGTGTAACAACTGTTGCGGTGTTACACGATTACAGGCTCGGCATTAGTTCTAATTTTTTCATGTTCAGTTATGGAAGGCAGACGTGGACGCGGTGGGCATTGGAAAAGAGGAGGTGGTGCTGAGTCCGGCAGTTCGGGAGAGCACAGGGGTCGCGGAAGAGGAGGACACCACCATCGTGGAAGAGGCAAACGGGATCATCGTAGAGGAAGAGGGCGAGATTTTGGGCCTCCTGCAGACTTTAGAGTCTTTCGACGAGTGAGTGTCACCCATAAAAATCTCCATGGCAACCATAGTTTCTGCAGAAATACCATAGTCCCTGGTAATACATTGGATCAAATAATTACAGTTATTTTTACTATAAAACTCTGGTATTAGACACAAATGACATAAAAATAAATATGAAATATATGAAAATAAAGTGACAAGCATTCAGAGAGACTCTCGCACTGTTTTAATGAGGTTAATTTGATAAATTATTAATTTATGGTATTAATGTAGTAACAATATGTTGACTGTGGTTAACTTTTAAGGTTTTCACGAATCTAATAAAACAAATAGATTATGTTATGCTTGCTCACTGTCATCCTTTTTCTGATCGCTTTCCAGAATCAAGATGACAGTGAGAACAAAGAAAACATTGAGCAAGAGGAGGAGGACAACACCTTCTCTAGACGAAAGCTTGAGCCCAACTGGGACCGTTATGAGGAATTGGAGAAAGAAGAAATGAATGAAGATGTTCCCACACAGAGAGGCACAGACTATCATGTCCTCCTCACTTCAGCTGGTAAGACGTGATCTAAGACCACTTAGATCTGTGTCATATTTCCCCCGTGCCTCCTATACAGCTCATGCAGGCAGTAGATCAAAACCAAAATGAATGTATTACAACAATGGTGTTAACCAGCTGTCCTGCTGTGTGCTATTGAGATACGAAAGGGCAACGAGAAGGGCAAAGCTCCATTTCTGTTGCACGGTTGTATCTGATTAATGGAGGACTCCTCTCACCAGCAACAGTTTTTGCCATGTTTACAAATAGCACAGTGAGCTACCATTACTAACCACAGGGTTTATTTTAAGTTACCTGAACGAGAAGTTTGGCATTAGTATGATTTTTTTGTTTTTAATTTTTTGAAGGCAGCTAATATTCAGTTCGGATGCATTAAATCAAAAGTGACAGTGAAGACATTTACTATTTAATGTTACAATAGATTTCTATTTTTAAAATGCTGTTCTTTTTAACTTTCTATTCATTAAAAAAAATGTCTCACAGATCCACAAAAATATTAAGCTGCACAACTGCTTTAATCTTGATAATAAGAAATGTTTCTTGAGCACCAGATCAGTATATTAGAATGGTTTCTGCAAACCATTAGTAATGGCTGCTGAAAATTCAGCTTTGCCATCACAGCAATAAATTACATTATATTCAAATAGAAAAGAGTTGCTTGAATTTGTAATAATATTTAACAGTATTACTGTTTATACTGTATTTTTTGATCAAATAAATGCATCCTTGGTGAACATAAGATACTTCTTTTAAATACAATTTAAAAAATCTTACCGACTCCAAACTTTTGAATGATAGTGTATAAGCAAGTTAAAACAGTTCAACGTTTGAGTTTAATTCTTTTATTTAAGAACCGTGGAGGTTGATGTAATGGATATTTAGGAAATGTTTTGTTTCCCATTTATTTATGTCAGTGAAGTTAATACAGAGAGTGCACATTTTGTTGAAGGGCAGGTCATTAACACACAACCGTCTAATTATTCAAAATGAACCATTACAGAGGCATTTGTTCCTCTAGTTTAATGAGCCTAAATCCAGTGTAAGTGCAGAATAAGATTCCATTATGCTGTTCTCTTGAGGGAATTTTCTTTGCTCAATTTGCCTCTAATTTCCCTAATCGGCTTCCTCAAAAGCCACATTGATATTCATGAGATATATTTGTGTTATCTAATTTTTATGATAGTGAAGTGAAGTACTGCAGCACCACACTGCCTCTTGTGGTATTGCAAGAGAAAGATTATATATATATATCTGAATGCACAATCAAATGATCATGTTATGCATTACATAATGTAATAATAATTCCCTGATATCTTTGAATGAAAATTTGAAGAAACTGCTACTAATATACAAATTAAATTCATACAAAAAAGAACAAATACCCATGCACTGATTGATAAACCAGCATTGTATTTTATTTATATCATAACTAGTGCTTTGCACACACAAAGCTTTCAGAAAAGCAGAGGGGCTTGTGGTACTCCGGAGAAAGAATACAAGGGTATTGCGGTATTGCAAGAGAAAGATTATATATATATATATATATATATATATATATATATATATATATATATATATATATATATATCACTCATGCATCTCTGTGCAAACATACATACCGGGAATTGTCAGTTGTTAGTAGCAATCCGTTTCTGTTTGTTGTGGCCAAACTGTTAAAGTTGTACTCCACACAAAATTGGAGCGCTTGATCTGTTTTGTTGCTCTCCACTTTTTTTCCTGCACATTTACGATTAGTCATCAGAGGTTCAAACTTGCTGATCTCTGTGAATGTGGGTGGAATTTGTATCTGTTCTCCAGAGCAAGTATTGTGTCCATGACTTCAGTAATTGTGCAGGACAGCCTGTCCATCAAAATGATGTGGTTGTGCAGCACCACTTGTTTGTCACATGACAACAACAAAAGAAGGTTGGTGCTTATTATAGGACTGCTTTGAAGAAGAATCTTTTCTGTCTTTTATATTTTAACCATGAAAAATAGCTTTTAAATGTTTTGTTTGACTTTGCAAGATATATACAGTAAATATGGTCACACCTCTTGGTCAAATATTGCAATATAATGACTTTGACTGAGTTATAAATAGAAAGAAGGCTGTTCCGGTTTGTTCAGCTCCGCATGTCTTTCGAAGTTGCCCGACCTCCCCTGCGGTACTCAACATACTGTCCTTTATCTCATTATGATTCTGCCAGCAGGCTCTGATTAGTGACTGTGATGGTAACGGACTGATTAGGTACAAAATGAATGTAATTCAGCTTTCACCAGGGAGTGGAATAAAGTGGAGGAACATCCTTCCTTTACCCTTTAGTTTTCTCAAAAATTACCAAAATCATAACTTAATCTGCATTCTTTAAAGGGTTGGTTTGCCTTAAAATGAAAATTGTATTCATTTAGTCACCCTCAAATTTCTACAGGCTTGAAACGACATGAGGGTGATTAAATGATGATGCAATTTTCATTATTCCTTTAAAAAAGCTTTTAATAATTTTATGCTCACCTGCATCCTGCATCCTTATTGCTTTATGCAAATAACAAGAGAAACAGATACATTAGCAGATGAGTTTTCTTCTTTATCATAGGCGGTGCTTGCTCCTGTTGATTGCCCACAGCGTAGTTTTTAGTGTTTAATCAGTTTGAGTGAGGAAACCCTCATACGGTTCATAGAAAACTCATTCTGGCTGTTAACCATTCTTTGACACATACCGTAAGATGGGTGTAGCAATATTATATGCAACTGAGACAATATTCCATAAGGTATGAATTTTCATTCAGCAGCAAAATTGCTGTTATCTATTGATTTGCTCTAATCTGTTATTGTGCATGTCAAATTATGGTCTCCAGCAGCCCAATATTTTAGGCTGTCACTGTAATGAAAACTACATCTGTCAGAAAACTTCAAATCTGTTCATCGATCTTTCGGCTTTATCATTTTTTTGTGCATATTACAGTCTCACAGATGGGTAATTTTATTTTGTCCAATCTCACAGCTGATTGGAGATTAATCTGTCAGAACCTTTCAATAACATCTTTGAATTTGGGTTGCATCATCCAGTCCTTGTCACTGTAGCAGTGAACTTGTTGCTAGGGCCAGCATCATTGGGCAATGCTTAAGCACTGGGGCACTTTTTTGTTTGTTTTGTCTGAATGAACCTGAAACTCACATTGGTTTGAAGACACAATATGAGGAAGAATGTGGTAGTCGCTTTCTCGTAATGTAAAGTAATAATGATCTCCTTCAGATGAAAATGACCTGGAGCTCCCTCAGAAGAGGGAACAGTTTCCCGTTTAATGTGGTTGAATATTTAAACAGGTTGTAAACAAAGCCATATTAGCTTTTCATTGATTTCTGGTTTCGGGAAGGAACCATAATAAACATAGTGCAGAATATTGTATTTACAGGTAATAAAAACCTGTATTTACAGGTAATTTAAAAACTTGTGTGCAGATATAATATTTATGATATACAATTTATAATAAATTTCTTTATAACACAAAGGTTAAATTTTTTTATCATTAGTTAACGCATTGTACCATGAATCAATGTTAAATTATTAGTATATGTAAAATAAAAATAACATTAACCTAGATAAATAGATGCAAAATTATCAGTAATGGACAGTTTATGATAGCTAGTGCATTAACTAATGTTAACAAATTGAACCTCATTGGAAGTATGTTTATTACATTGATTATAGATCATAGCACTTTAGAGCTACACAATTAATTGAATTTCTAATCGCGATTACAATTACAGATGCCACAATTACATAATCGTTCAAAGTGGCAATTAATTGTTCAAAGTCTGCTTATGTTATTCTGAGCGCTTGTGTGTGTTTTTTTCTTTCTACCGGTTATCGTAAGGGTTTTTCCATTGTTTTAATTTTAGTTTTAGTATAACATCATGCATAATTTTACTTTTTTTATTATTTAAAGAAGAAACCAATCCAATGTGTAGTTGCTTAATACTATAGAAATGCAATAAACATTTTTCAGTTTGAGTGTTTTCAGCTTGTTTATTTTCATATGAAAATATGGCATGCCATTGCTTCAAACTGGTATAAACATCATTCAATGTCAATTGTGATAATCGTAATTAATAATTGCAATTACAATTTCAAGGGAATAATTGACCATTATGATTTTTGTCATAATCGTGCAGTCCTAGAGCACATATTGACTTTGGAGTCATTTTACACTTCAGTTTCTATAGGTAGAGGCTTATTTGTATGGCTGATCATCTTCACAAATGCTGCTTTTACCATCCATTTAAATCAGTTCAGTGGATTTCTGGGATCTCCTTAAAATTAAGATTTTTTTTTAAACCTTTAAAATGAAACATAATGAATGTCAGTCAGTGAGATCTGTTGTCTTTCTTTAATAATGTTCACCCACTAAATAGTGATTACTACCTTTTCTTATTATCATTAATAATATATATGTCTTCAGTACTCACTGTTTTCATCGTTCAGCCTTGAACTCCATCTACAGATCTGGCTTGGTCAGACTGTCACCCATCCCAGACCATCACTCTCTTCATCCAGTCACGAGCCCTTTCTTAAATGATATAGTCCTCAAAGTGGTAGTAACATGGTCTCCTTTGTTTTTGGATGGTTTTCTCATGGAAGAATCAAAGTAAAAAGCTCTGTCTCAAGTTGAGACAACCACACTAAAGTCTTCATTGTTAAGCATCTCCTTTTGTCTCGGTGGTGGAGGATGATGGGGAAATGCTGCTGCCGCTGTTTCTCTGGATGAATATGTGCTGCTGCCTGTGGATGCACTGACAGACACAGATGTGAATGGCTGGGAGGAGGTCATTCCCACTGGGCTGAGATGATCGTCATGATTTGGGGCAGTGAACAACAGGCAGACGCTGAGAATGGGAGGAGGAAGAGGAGAAGAGCGGGGGGCTGAACTGAAGCAGATATGAAGGGATGAAGGTTAGACCGTTCTTGCTCATACTGTAGACAGTGGGGGTGTATGAA